CCCAACTCTTTAAAAGTCCTCCTCGTCAGTTATCACCTCTAACTGAATCCCAAGAATAGACAAGTGGCAGTATCACCATCTTACCCTGCTCTGAACAAGGGAGGAAGAGCAGGCTGCCAGTCTACTTTTGGGGAGGTTTCAAGTTCGTTCTGACTCAGAGACCCCCACGTCAACACGAGGAGACACTGCCCCGCCCTGCACCACCCTCACGATGGCTGTGACATTTGAACACATCAATGCAGCCAGTGTGTCAGCCCAGCTTGTTGAAGGGCTTCCTTTTTCACACGCCCTCTACTCGTCCAGCCCTTTCCCAGGGCCTGGCCCCGCCTGACATGTCTAGAGTAGGTGAGTCTCCTGGGCCACGCTTCTAAGGAGCACTGACTGAGCGTCTTCCAAGACAGAGATGTCCACGCTTCTGGCAGCCCACGATACATTCCATACTCTTTACCAGGTATGCGCTTGGAGGTAGACCCTATTTCACTCACAGCAGTGAATGAACGTATGGATTCTACTAGGAGGAATGCTATCCGTGCCAAAATCACGTTGCGAAAGCCGCAAAAGTCCAAACAGCTCATTCGCATCGGTGAACGGTGTCTTCCGCTGCTGACGGCGTTCACGCAGAGGTTTAGCGTGGAGAATTACTTTTCAGGGATGCTGGGGCAGACTCACTCAAATAGCAAAGGACTAACCGGCCTTTTGGCCTGACATCCAAGTTCTAGGTGGCATGAATAAGTTAAGAACTCAGCTACTTATGACAAAATAATCATTTATAAATTATCAAGGGTTCATGAGGGAGGGGGGAGCGGGAAGGGAGGGGGGGGGATGAAGAGCTGATGCCAGGAGCTTAAGTGGAGCGCAAATGTTCTGAGAATGATGAGGACAATGAATGTACAAATGCGCTTCACGCAATGGATGTATGTATGGATTGTGTATGAGCCCCCAATAAAATGACTTATAAAAAACCTCGGCTACTAAGTGAGCGGTCGGTGACTAGAAGCCACTGAGCAGCAGCACTGTGGAAGCAAGGCCCGGAGCTCCGCTTCCACGAGGGCACAGCCTTGAGCACGGGGCGGGGGGCAGCGGTCCCACTGTGCGCACACGGGGCTGTGAGGACGCCCTCTCATGCGCGGTCCTCCTCTTTGTCCTGGAGCCTCCATTTTCCCAGGCACAGTGTCCTCTCCTGACGACATGGCTGACCTGTGTGAGACGAGCCTCACCAGCCTCCCTTCTCAGGAGCACAGGGCTGCACCTTTCCAAGGCAGACTTGCGCGTTCTTCGGGCTGCTCTCGCCACTGTCGATGTTCTTCACGAATGCATCAACTAGTCTGCAAGCTTCCCAAGTTTCGGTGCCACTTTTACATGCATAGGAGGCAACCAGAAACATGGCTTGGGTCGGGGTCCGCCTTGGCCCTCAAAGTGATCAATTCTTGCTCTGCTAACAATTTAATGAGATCTTGTACAGACATGCCTAATGCAAGACATGACTCGATTTCGTAACTGAAGGTGCCATGCACACTGATGGTGGATTCAAGCAAAACGAAATCGCTGACAATGTCAATCTCTTCTCTGTTTACGATGACGTTGTCTACTGGTGCAGGTGTGGACATTTTTAGCTTTACACTGAGTTGCAATCTATATTGAAGGCTGCAGACTGATTTTCATCAAGTGCTTCCAATTCTTATTTTCAGCAAGCAGGTGTGTCATCTGCCTATCCCAGGTGGTTAATAAGTCTTCTCTCAATCCTGATTGCCAACAGGCTAGAATCCTATGATGAAAGTAACCCAGTTCCCCAAGTGCTGGCCCACACTTTGCTGCAGTGTGAGCCCAGAACCTGAAGAGGTGGATTCCTGAAGACATCACTCTCAAAGGCTCCCCCAACCAATCGTGTCTTCCTAATCCAGCAAGTAGGTACACATTTCCCATTTCCTTCTTTAAGTTATAGAAGGGAAATGGATAGGAAACAATTTCTGAGGAAAAAAAAAAAAAGCAGAAATGCTAAAGACTAAAAAACGGTAGAAACAGAGGACACGTGCATTCTCCTAAGGGAACCGAGAAGGCCAAGTATCCAAAGGTTTAGAAAATCATGATGCTAACACAAACAAGAATCCAGTCTCAACGGACAAGGTGGGAGAAGGTGACACACACTGACAATGGACCAAAAAAATAAAAAGACAATGGACAAGTCTCTGTTCTTAACAGATGTTTTATGAGGCCGCTTGAAGACCAAGTCAAGAACAGAATCGGAAAGCTGGGTTTCATTCCTTCTGGAGATGCTTAAAGAGGAACGGGTTGTTGTTTGTTTGAAAAAGAAGAACATTTTAAGCCTCCAGATGAAGAACATAAGAATATACCACCTACACCACATCCCCCACCTCAGTAGCAACTGTAAAACACCTAAGAACGGTAAAAAGCCCAACTGATTCTAGTTAGGATTTTAAATTACTCTAAAGAACATTCCAGGATTTTTTCTTTTTTTCAGCTAAAAGACAAAATTCACAGGGCAAGAGATTAAGAAAGCCACATCGATAGTCCTGACAGAGGCCTCCTTTCTCAGGGGCTGAGGGAACCTGTTCTTTTACACTTGAGACTCTCAAGAGATGTCTTTATTTGTATTGGGCCAATTTCAAGGTAGACTCATAAATAAGTTGTTTGGTTTTGGTTTTTTCCATAAATAAGTTTTATTTTGTGATAGGAAAAACGGCTCTGAGATTAGTAAATGTTATCTTGGTCCTCCCTCCCTCTTGGGAGTACAGAAACCTTGCAGCACCCCAGGACTGACAGCGATTGGAATCAACTGGCAGCATTTTCTCTTCCTTAATAAAACCTGGGTGTGAGTTCCAAGCGATGGAGATCTTAGACTCCAAAGCACTCAGTAATTGCCAAGACGAATGTTCACTCCCCGTGGGTTCAGTCTTAGGGATGGCTACTGGAAGAGTGACAAAGAGTGGGTTCCAGTTTACCCATTAATATTTAATGACACGCAGGAAATCAGTGCTACATGAAACGTCCCAATGGGTGCCTATTGATCTTTACCCATAAAAAGAACTTTGTTCTATTACACGGTGACTTCACTGGGGGCCTGGCTACTCAGCGTCAACCACCACAGGTGATGAAACCCTATGGACTCTGAAACGTGTCCTTTAGAGGGCAAACAAAACCCAATTGCATTGGGGGGGGGGGCAAAATCCCACTGGTCTTAAAGTGTACAGAAGCCATCTCAGGGAATGGAGAGACGCCATCAGGGAGCTACCCTCCCTCACTCTGTGTGCTCACAGGCATTGGTAGTCCTGAGCTTTAAAAAGAATATTTGCAACTTGGTGGATACTGATAGGGACTCACTCCTCCCCCCACCAAAAAAAGGGGGGGGTGTGTCTTTTTATAATGAAAATGGAACTTTCTGAGAGTGGTCCTAAGAGCCAGGAAAAAAAGACTATTTGGACAGTAAGGACCAAGTCAAATCCTTTTCTAGCCAAATGGAACAGAGGCGGCAGTGTCAGCAAGAATGGTTGCTGCTTGAGAAAAACAGAACTTGGAAGACACATCACTTCTCCTAGTTCCTGAGCACAACCACTCGTATGACTGAATCTGTTCCTATTGATGAAAACACTGGAACCCTCTAAGAGGAAATGGAATAAATCCACTACGTGCTACAAGCCAAAAGAACCTTGACCTAAGGTTATGTAAAAACCGTGTGTTTAACTCAAATGACGGCCTGGCCATAGATTCTATTTTTAAGTAAAAAGGGATGTGTTCTATAAACCTTCACCCAATTCACAATTTAAGGAAAAAAGCCAAAGCACACCGTCTTCAGTCCCAGGCTAAAGTGTTTTCCTGGTTCCCCCTCAATAGGGACTAGAGGGCCCTTTAAACACTGCCAGCAGATTAAACAATGCGAAGTTCTTAGAATCCTTTATAGTCATCCACTCCCGTGCTCTCACCTACACCACCCCCACTTGCTTCCATTATTCTAAAATCAAGAGCTACACGATCAGGTGAAAATAGAATGGTTTTTGCTCCTGAGTGCGTAGCCGTTTGAATTTACTTAAAAAAAGAAAAGATCCTTCCACACCGGGCTTCTGACTTCAGCAGGCCCCCCTCCCCTCCTCCCTAGGAGCGGGGTCACTGTGCATTTGGACTCGCTCAACGCCCGGCCACTGGGCCCACAGGCAGCTAGCCCCC